GGGGGGGGGGGGGGGGGGGGGGGGGGGGGGGGGGGAATTAAAGCTTTTGAGCCTCCAGACTAACCCCAAACGCCAGGGGAAAAAAAAAGTTAATATACAAATCAATTACAAAGTTGGCATTTTAAAAAATTTCCCAACACCACCAGAAATTAATTGCCATTCAACCACACTTAAAATTTGAGTAAGTGGACGTGAATAAAGAATAGAACTTACAATCAACTCTGGCAGTGGAATCTTAACCTTTGTGAGCATAATTTCGCAATTATAGGCTCTACGCAAATCAACCTAGCAATAAGAAACACAAAAGAGTAATAAGTAATCTAAAAACTAATATAATATGAAGATACTTAACGACAAATCTTAGAGAAAGAAAAAGAATGAACTTCAGAATAACAAATTTTACATTGATAAATGGAATAACATTCTAGATATCAACAATTGCTTTGTTAGTAAAATAATTGAAAAGGGTAAATGATTTCCCCTACCAACACTCGTTATTATGTAAGTACACCTTCAGTTGGAGGCAGCTGAATTCATGCATATAATATGATCATTGGAACAATCAACATTGTTAAACAAGAAGGTAAGAAAGACACTCAGCTATACTAATATACAACTATTTTATTTAGCCCATGTTTGATGGTTATTATTCTTAAAAAATGGAGTTTTGAATAGTATTTTTTTAAGCATGTGTAATTAAAAAGTAGGAAAAAGTTTTGCATTAAAGAATGTGTGGTTAAAAAGTAGGAAAAATTATTTTATTGTAAAAATGTGCGATTGAAAATGAGTATGAGAATTAAAGGGTTCCATTTTAAAGGGTGACAAACAAGGGCTTAGTTTAAAGGTCAAAAATCTGCTCCAGAAGTAAAAAGGTAACAAGAGTACACATTTTAGACCAAGTTAATCTCTCTCCTAGTGACCACATTATTCTAATAATTCAATTTTAAGATATTAATCAAGTGAATCTTCTGCTCATATAAATACGTATATTGACAAATAGTAAAGACTTCCAATTTTAAGGAAATAGAAACTGTCATTGAATATATATTCCTTTCAATTGATATCATGATTCAAAGAAAAATGATGATCTTTTATGGTGTCTTTCCTAATTATACTGCAGATTAGATTTGTCACTCTTCTTTTTCTTTTGGCCATAAATATTAGGTTTTCAAGGTGCAATTAAGACATCTCGATCATAAGCAGCATGAACATGACCTTAATTTAAGTGACATCGGTCAATAAGTTCAAAGTAACTTTTTTTTTTATGGGATACTGTAAACAATGAACATTATTGACTTGCCAATTGCACTTTTTCTGGTTTGTTAATTTTTGAACCACGTTGGCCTCCAGCTTTCATAGCACTGTCTGATGCAGATGCCACCGAGAACAGACTCTCGAGCTCTGATATATCAATTTCAGGTGCCCTATGAAATCATCAATGATGTGGAATCAGAATTTCACATAATAAGGTATGTTACAGAATAACATTAGAAAAACAGAGAGCATAGAAATGAGTTAAATTTTATCTTTATTGAACTCACTCCGAAATGTAAGTCAATTGAATCATAATAAAATACAGCATAACAATATTTGTAGTCAGCATACCTCGACTGACTTTCCTGTTTCTGAGAATCAGCCCACAAACTCCCTTGCACTGCACGTGTTACTTTCACCCAATGTAAAGGCTTAAGTGATGTTTTTTTAGGTGGTATTGAAGAACCAGTGAAGCCTCGCCCTCTTCCATGACTTGATCCTGACACAACTCTTCCCCTTCCAATAGATGAAGGTGGTGGTGGTGGTACATTGAAGCTCTTTCCACCAGATAGTGAAGGTGGAGCTGGTGTTGAATTGCGACCTGAAGGTGGTGGAGGTGGAGGTGGAGTTGGTGCTGAACCGCGACCTGGAGGTGGTGGAGGCGGAGCTGGTGCTGCATTCCTACCTGAAGGTGGTGGAGGTGGAGCTGGTGCTGACCCACGACCTGGAGGTGGTGGAGGCGGAGCTGGTGCTGAGCTACGTCCTGAGGGCGGTGGTGGTGGAGCTGGAGCTGGTCCACGACCTGGAGGAAGTGGAGGAGGAGGTGGAGCTAATCCACGACCTGGAGGAAGTGGAGGAGGAGGTGGAGCTAATCCACGACCTGGAGGTGGTGGTGGAGGCGGCGGCGGCGGAGCTGATCCACGACCTGGAGGTGGTGGTGGAGGAGGTGGAGCTGATACACGACCTGGAGGTGGTGGAGGAGGATGTGGAGCTGATCCACGAACTGGAGGTGGTGGAGGAGGAGGTGGAGTTGATCCACGACCTGGAAGTGGGGGAGGAGCACTGGGAGGTTCTTGCACTTGCGGAGGACTTGGATGAGTTGAACCTTGTAGAGGACGTCCAGGAGGAAGTGGTACTGGTCTGTTAGCATTGCTGAATGATGCGGGTGGTGGCAATGGTGGTGGAGGTGGTGCGGGAGGCATAGGGATCTTGGAAGAGACTAGAGGAGAAGAAGTAAGTGGGCTTTCACTCTTGGTGGGTAACGGAGGAGGTGGAGGGGGAGGTGTCAAAGTTCCTTCCGAAAAATCAGAATGTTGAAGAGAGGGTGCGTATTGTGTGGGACTAGTACTAGTACTAGTACTAACAAGAGTAGGTGGTGGAGGAGGAGGAGGTGGTACTTTACTAGTATTGGGAGGAGGCGGAGGAGGGGGTGGAAGAGGTCCTTTACTAGAACTAATGTGCGGAGGGGGAAAAGGAGGAGGTAATGAAGGTCGTTTAGTAGAACTAGGAGTAGAAGGAATTGGAGGAGGTGGCGGCAGAGGTACTTTACTAGAATTGATAGTAGGTGGGGGTGGTGGAGGAGCTGGTGTCAATTGTCCTTTACTTGAACCATTATGAGGTGGGTGAATTTCTTCCCCAGGACTTATAGGCAGTTGAGAATGTATTTTACTAGAAAAAAGTGGAGGGGGTGTTGGTGGAGGACATTTGCTTGAATCTAGCAGAGGTGGTGCTGGTGGTAATGGTAATTCCGGGATTGTTGCAACAGAAACAGAGGAGGAAGGTACTGAAGGCTGATCTGGTGAGGGCACATTGGATGAAGTTTCTGTGCTAGGATATTGTATTTCATTTAAAGGTTCAGAGAGAACACTAGAATGAAACTGCCCACCCATTTTGAGATCAGAAGCTTCATCTGAAGTACAATCAGGGGATGAATGATCATCAAGAAAACTAACTTCTGGAGCCCTCTCAGAGTCTGGAAAATCAAGACTATCGGCGGTACTGGATGCATTATTTTCTTCCTCAGAATCAAAAGGTGATGAATAACCACTCATTCTGCTTCGCAATATGGACAAATCTTTGACATCATTCAACTCAGATAATTGCTTAAGTAACCATAAAGTGGCTTCATCACTGGAATCAACCCAATCTACACCAGCAAAAAGTTCTTGTACCCGAGAGAAAGCTTCAATAGGAAGTCCACCATGGTCCTCCCCATTTAAGATTGCAGTTGGGGCTTTGGGGGGAGAATGGGTCTCAACATCTCCAAATAGCACCTGTGATTATGAAAAGAATCAAATTTCACTGAGATGTTATGGCAATAATAGTAAATTTGACTTTCTCAACTACATAACTGAATCTTTAGAATGCAAAATAATAATCACCTCAGCTCGAAAGCCTTTAGGAAACCTTGCCTTTGAGTCCCAAATAGTATCCAAGTTCTCAGAGTTGAGCATAAGAATATTGGACCGAATAAAAGCTGTATTAAACATTGTACGAAACATCATCACTTCCCTTTCTGGATCCAAGTCTAAATGGACACATTCCAATACAACATCCCCTTGCACCAAACATTGTATATCGATTTTAATTACGTCGCTGTCCTTCTGCAAAAATGAACCCGATTACAACTCAAAGAAGAGTCATATGAACTTTTGCGAAAATGAATGTCAGGGATTGAGATTGAACATCTTACTTGACGATAATGGCGAACCTGTCTACCCTTCTTATGCATAGAATAAAGCATTTGGGTCGACAATCCATCCTTGCTAAGGAGATTTCGACCAAAAATACGTACAATCGGCCTGCAGCCTTTTTGATTATCAAATCTTGGTATGGCACGAAAAATAAGACAGTCCAAAGAAAGAGCTCGTTCGGGTGGTGGCCACTCCGTGGATATATTTCTTCTTGATATGTATTGAAGGTACCGGAGCTGAGATGGGAATGGATTCAGCGGCGACAATAACTGCAACAAACCTTTTGGACCCTCTCTGTAAACCATTTCAAGAGTTTTTCTCTCGCCACTGTGCAACTTCCTGTAAACCAAGAAACTAGCTAAAACAAAAGCGAGGAGCAGCCAACCACCTCTTTCGCAGTGGAGCAAAACTACATTCTGGCTATTCCCAAGAGAAAGCCAACTCTCACTAACACGAAGGAAATGGTGAATCAAAGACAGTGGCAATAAGGGACACCCCTCGTATTGCCTCGGATAATCCATAACTGTGACATCATAATCGCACAAAATCTCTGCAAACTGGCTCCTCTTTTCACCTTCCCGAAAATTAAAAGCGAGAAACGACGAATCAGGGAACTCTTCATGTAACTCGGTGATGATTTCTTTCAGGTATAGCTGGTATATCCCCTCAGGCAATACCTCTGTTGAGAAACACGAGTCAAAAACTGCAAATGTAGAATGTCCTTTCGTTAATAAGAATAAATAAAACATAAAAAATTCTAATGAATATAATAAAATTAAACAAAACTTATTGCGATAATATTAATGTAAAAGCAAAAAATACAGAATCGAATTTGAAGCTTCATTTTACCATATACTCTATCAGAGAGTTCAAGCAAGCCATCTGGGGGCCTCTTGTAAAAGAATCTACTCAATAAGGTCATACTGTCGATCGAAGTCACCCTCAAATGAACATCCAATTAATCAATACCTGAAAATAGAAAAAAAAATAATAATAAAGCTCAAGCACCCATAAGTAATTTTGTAAATTCCCAAAAACATAAATCCAAACAAAAAAATATGGGGTTAAAAAATTTGGCTATTAACATCAAACTCAAAATTGCTAATGCAAAGGAACAGCGATAAGACTGACACATATAGAAATATACGAATTTAAATAAAACTAACTGGATATAAAGCTGCGAAGAATGTGGCCGGAGATTCACTTGCAGTGTTAACGGAGCTGATTCTATTGCGTTCACCGGCGTTTGGTGGACTGGTGGCGGTGGTTCCGGTGGCGTGACAGTTTTCACCTAGATTTTCAACTTTCAAGTTTCAATTTAAGGAGGAGGATTTTCCTATTTTCTTTTATTTTTACTTCACCTCTTTTGTAATTTGAAATTTTGCGCTTCGCTGTGTTGTACGCAGTCTTTGTCTATTGGAGGCACTTGCACCTTTCATATTATAATTGCCATTTATATGAAACGGTCTCTCTCGTTCTGATTTTGCTCATTGGAAATGCCTTAATTGTAATTATTTATTTGTTGAACTCATAACCATACTATTAACAATTATATCTATCGAGTCAGGGCCATTTAACAAGACTTTCAAAAGTCAAAGGATACTTCTAAAATTAAAAAAAGCTATTTTTTAAATTTATTTTAATAATTTTTTGAAAGTACTCTATCGGATTAGAAAAGCTTTTTAAAAAAAAGTTAGGTGTAATTGTAACAGAGACCCCAAACCTTTAAAATATTAGCAAACTCTTTTCAAACATTTAATTTATTACAACAGTCACCCCAAACATTTCGAAAAGTTGCAGTGAAAGCTCTTTTGGACGGTTTTCATCCAAATTTCTGTTAGTTGACTAAAAAATTTGACTTTGACAATATTTTTAAAAGGATAAAATAGTAATTTTTCAATTAATACACTAAAATAAGTTAAATTAAGAAAAGCAAAAAAAACAAAAACTATAGATCTTCAACTTCCTCCAGCCCATTGCCACCAGCGACCGACCACCCTTCACCGTTACAATTCCCTCTTCCCCATCCCTGCACGACTCCACCTTAAACAAGTACATGTGAATTCTCGTTTCCTTCGGGGTGTCAAAAAGGCTTGGAGGCTCTGGCGGTCCGCGGCCCAGCTCGAAAAAAGCCCGAGCCGGCCCGCAAGCTTAAAAAATAATAATAATAATAATAAATAGAGTAAATAATTAGCAACACACACCTTTCTCAAGCTTCCCAATCCAAAATAGTTTTATCAAAAGAGGCCTCAATTTCAAGATCCCCTGTTTCCCACTCTCTGTTTTCCATTTCAAAGTAAGTCTCCTCTTTCTTAGCTATTCCAATTGAATCCAACCCGGAATATCCCTGCTCACATGAAACATCAATTTCCGAGTCCTCTTTTTCTCTGCAACTAAACCCCTGTTTGCTGCCTTTATAATATTAAAAAAAAATCGAGCCTGCCCAACTCGGATCGTAAAAGCTCAAGCCGAACGCTTAGGCCGAGCCGAAATTTTTTGACCGAGCAAAAGCTCGGGATCGTAAAAAAGCTCGACCATTTTAACCGAGCCGAGCTCGAGCCTAAAATTTTAGTCTCGGCTCGGCTCGGCTCGACTCGTTGACATCCCTACGTTCCTCCATTTCATCGCTCTCAATTTCCTCTCCTTAAGAAACTCAAAATAAAAAAATCGCCCTTTCTGTCTCGATTCTCAACATTCTCTTCACCGACTTTATGCGACTTCATCATTTCATAGTTTAAACCCATATTATTGGGCTAAATCTCCTCAACCCATCTAAGATCCACCAAATATAGTCACAATTCCAAACTCCACAAGCAGCAATTGCAAAATCAGTAAATGAATACTCTTAGCCATTTACAGCATAAGCAGAACCAATTCTCAAGATTTCTTGGTACAAAACCTGGAATTTTTCCCAAGCCCACAAAGCTTTTTTCGGGATTGAGGCAATAGCATTGGGGAAAATGACTGGCGGAGAATGGACTTCCAAAGAATAGAACAATGCTTTGTCTTGGGACTTTCGACATAGCTGAGGAAGGGACTTTAGCGTATGATAAGGCTGCTTATAAGCTAAGAGGAGAGTTTGCAAGGCTCATTTTTCTTGACATTAGGCATCAATGGAGAGACAAAGATGAATAGGGCTCTGGTTCTTTGTTTTATTTATTTATTTATTTTTTTTTGCTATTCCTAATTTCATTTTTAACTTTTTTTAATGTAGTAAATGAAAAGTTACTATTTTACCCTTTCAAAAATATTAAAAATATGATCAAAATCAAATTTCTTAATTAACTAACAGACATTTAGATGAAAATCCTCCAAAAGAGCCTCCGCCACAACGTTTCGAAAGGTTTAGGGTGATGGTTGCAACAAATAAAAAGTTTGGAGAAAGTTTGCCAATGTTTTAAAGGTTTTGAGTCTCTGTTACAATTATCTCAAAAAGTTAATTTAAGATAACTCTCCCTAAAAATTCTTCTACGAGATGTAGAAGCCCTAATCAAGTGGGTTATCAAACAGGGCCCTCAATATTACACGTTTCCAATGGATCAAAGAACAATTTTGACATTTAAATAGTACACAAGACTTACGAGGTTCCATCTCTTAGTAAGTGCCTATTTGGCCCCTTTAAAATTTTAAATTATTTGCTACAGTATCATTCTTCATCACAGATTCACACAATAAAATATTTTACATACAAACCAATAAAGTCTCTTTATTTTTTAATCATACATTATCCAAAAAATACTATTTAAAACTCTTTAATTTTTCAAGTAATGGGTGACAAACAACGACTAATAAAGAACATATATAAAGGAAGGGTGATGTTAGATGGTACACTTTCTGTGTACATAATGTTTAACACCCTCCTCGCATGGAGGGAGTCCGCATATAATTTAGATATAATCCATTATGTACACGAAAAGTGTACAACTAGACTTATCCATAAATGAATACTGTTTACAAGATGCGCATTTTCTTTTACATAAAGGGGTTTTTTTGGTCTTCTTGCACATCTGGTGCAGTGGCTTAGTATAGCAGCCTTTATTAACTTCTGAAGTTCTAAATAATCTACTTACAAGCAAAAGTTTGAATTATATGTAAAAGAACAACAATGATGAAGTTCGTCTGGAGATCGAGGTGCTTCAATCCATCATGGTGCATTGTACCAAGTTTCAGCAGATTTTGTGATTAAAATGTTTTATGACATTCCTTTCACCTCGTATCCATGAGATATTCTAAGTGGAGAGTCCTTTGATACGGGTATGTTTTTCGACCAAAGCTCCAAATTCACCGTCCCTATTTCCCAACGTACCAGACACTTGTATACCTGAGTAATGTCGAACCGGTTGACTAAGGCAAGATCGAGGTATTTATCGACAAGCATCCATTCGCCTAATCGAAGAAGCAGAGAAAGAAACAATTAACTAAACTTGATGGATCCAACAACAAAATAGTACCAAACATGTTTGTATAGGACATTGATAAATCAGTTCTTTTCATCCCATTATAATGGGTATGGTCACCAGGGACTTACCAACACATGGCAAAAACTCCTCGTAATAATCGATGTTTTGCTATTTAGATCCTAGATGGAGAATTTAAAATTTTATCGACTTGTTCTAGTAAGATGGACTGGACATAACGGTATTGAGGAAAAGTAATCCCTTGTAAAATATCTTGGCATGACTCAAATTGGATTTCACTTTTCACACGAGTCGAGGAAATGATAGATATAGAGATGAATGATGCCCGATGTGGGCACAACAAATTACTTTTCGTATTTTTGAAGCATTTCGAAGTAGAAAAAAAGTAAATGAGCAGGTTTCAAAAGAGTATATTATCATTTTAAACGAAGGTTAAGTACCATATTTCGTGGAAAATTAGAATATAGAATAATACACTTGTTTAAAAGTCAACAAGTAACATCACATTTGAAACCTTAGACAAAGATGCTCATGAAATGCACAAATGTATACATTAAAATCAATTTATTCGTTTGGTCAGGATGGAACCTTGCAAAACTAAAAAGCAACAGTCATGGATGATGTTGGAAAAAATGGTTATGAAATGGGTCAACTTTAAGCCCAAATTTCAATGGGACCCACCTTCTTTTAATTAATACGAGACCTAGCATATTCACGTTCTACTCCGCGAGATGATTAACGTGATATATTTATTTATCGAAAACCATTTAAAATTGAATGAAATATTAAGTGTTAAAGTAACCCACATAAACTAAGTATTATGGAAGAATTTGATTTTCCAAACACTTATCCCACATACGAAAGTTAGGAAACTTTGGTGTGGTTTATAAGGTGGAAGTTTGAAATTGGGTTTGGGCCCCAAGGGGTACCAACAGTCTTTAGAATAGGGAAGACCTATATCCTATTGGGTTCAGTCATAAATCCACATGCGCACGCCGCCGTCGCCGTCCGTTCGACCGGCCGGCCGGCTTGACACGGCACGAGCACGTGCCCGTGTCCGAGTCCGAGTCCGGTCTGGTTCGGTGCAAATGGACGTTTGCACTACATTAACTTTTTGGATAAAATTTATTTAAAATTTTGGGCCAAATTGTAAATAATCAAATTCCTAGGTACATTATGAAATTTAAATTTTGACTTATTCCGGGTGTTTTATTTTCTTTTAACAGTCGTCTGTTTACCGACCAAACAGTCGACTGATAGCCGACTGTTAACCGACTTAACAGACGCGACTTTTAAAAATAGCATGTCTGTTCGGATTTTGAGGTTTGTCTGAAAGGTGATGACTGTTCGAATGGCCACGAACAAGTCTATAAATAGCCAGCCTCTCTACCAGAAAATTTACACCATTTTCATTGCAAACTTTCTGTGCTTTGAATCTCATTTCCTTCTCTCTCGTTCTGATATTGTCTCGAAATAAAATACACTTCGTTGAGTTCGTTGAAACTCCTGCAGATTGTAGTGCTGCTTCCGTAGGAGACGAAAATTTGTTCTATCCTGAGAAACGATTGCTGGACGCCTTTAGCACCATTGAAGGTAGCAAATTCGTTTTAAGGAAACATCGTGAAGTCGGTGGGCTCGAATTACTGTTTACATCCTGTTGATCAATTCTTTACATTCAGGTGATTCTATCAGGTTGGTTTCGAAGGAGTAACGTCAAACTCTAGAAACAACAATCTTAAAACGAATTTTGTATTATTATTTTGTTTTTGTTTCTACTCCTTCTTACCGTTGATCTTCTGATTGTATTTCAGAAATGGCAACTTCAGGTACCACATTCCTGAATACGATCGGGGAAAAACCAGAAAAGTTTAATGGGTCAGATTTCAAGCGTTGGCAACAAAAAATGCTTTTTTATCTGACAACGTTAAATCTGGCTAAATTTCTCAAAGAAGACGCGCCTTCATATACCGAGCAAGACAGTGATTCTGA